CCAATACTTACCACAAATGCTCATGCTTATTGGAAGGATGTGCATCAGTAGAGTCGGTTTCTTTATGAAGAATGGTAACCACAATATTTCCTATTAAATTTGGAACAAACTCTCCATACTCTTACCATCGCCTAAAGAGGCCGTGAAATGAGCGATGGAGCAATGATCTAACTTTTAACATGAGCACTTTCTACTGTGACAACGAAAGACACAAGGTCAATACCAGTAGGTTGGCAAGTTCCGGTCCCAGCCAGATCTGTCAACAAGAAGGTGCCATGTAGAAGCACATTTGCAGTGACCCTCTCCCGCAACAACCGTTGCCGCTGTCCAACTTAACAAGTGGTAAATGTTCTGGGCTCTGAGACCGGGAGGGCTATAATAACCGCCAGCACTCGGTTTGTCCATCTCTGAGATTTCTATTCCCGATTCTCTCAGAACTACACCACGGCTTCAACTGGCCTCGTAAGCCATTCGTCCAGTATGATTTCGTTCGAGGTTGCTCTCGCCTCTTGATCCCACGTCAAAATTTTTCGAATGAAGCGGAGAACTTGGTCTTTCTCTTCTCCTGGTGGGATGTCGTGACAAAGCTCTCTAAAGAGGTCTCTGGTATTAGGAGATCGGATATCCAATTCCCTATCATCCCTTTTGGTGAGCAACAGGTTCACGTTAGGAAGGAGAACAAAGTCAGTCAGCCCTTCCCATCTGCATCAAAGTAGGTTTCGAAAAGTGGACTCTGCCGGACGATATCCAGTGGGGGAGGTCCGAGATATCCAATGTATTGTGCCAAAGCCAATCGGAGTACATACTGGCAATGGACATGATCTATTGGATCAAAGAGGTTTTTGCCCTCCAGGAGCTCCAGTGTCTATTCCAAGAGCCTCAGTGAACATTGAGCTTGAACCAGACCATGCACTACTTACCATGACACCAATCGACCATATATCAACTGGGAAACCCCAGCAGGGGAGCTGCAGTAGTACTTCTTGAGCGCGATATAGATCCGGCATCCACCAATCCTGATTTACACATCCTTCAACCAATCGAATTTGACCGAAATCTGTAAGAATAGGGTGACCGGAGAGTTCTAGAATGGTAGATCGAGACCCATAGACAAGAGTAGTCACATCCCCATTATTTCTGGTAATTGGAACACTTGGGTCCTGGGACTCTTGGTTTTCAACATCTTTAAGGCTGGTGTCATCTTCAATTTGCATCAACACGTTCTGGGGTAAAGATGTCTATTAATACGTCGTGAGTATGCAGCCCAACCAAATGTCACCACGATAACGATACGTTCCACGGCGTACCAGTATGTGCAACGCCGCAGGTTGCATGGAGCCAATTCACTGAGAAATACAAACGGTGTATTAAGGATTTCACCAGGAGTTTCGGTAACCTTATCGGCGAATGGCTGTAAGCGCTGGAGCATGCTGACTTCATTAAGTATAGGAGAGATCTAAGCATTATCTTCAAGCTGTATAGAGACCTCCAGTGAGGTATATTCTTTCGCACTGTTGCTTGGTAGCCAGCAACAACCTTGAATGGAACATTGGCAGAAAGCCAAACCTCTCATCCCACGCCAGCCAAACAGTAGAGTAAGCTCCATAACCAAGTTTCGCAATTACTCGATATCGACTATTAAAAATCTGCCCGATTTTGACGGGGTAGTAATGCTTTTGATGGTAGAATGGGAGAGTCTCTTCTTCAATTGCTTGAACCTGGGCCATACTAAAAGTCCATCGGCGGAGTTGAGGCACTTGCAATCGAACCCAGCACCGCCGGACAAACGAAGGAAAGCAGGAGCGGGTTTTTAACCCATTATCGCGTCAGTACCAGTAGTTCATCATAAAAACAGCATGAACACAGGTGAACTGGTGGTTCTCATGAGCAATCCCTCCCACCTCTGCACATCATGCTGCATCCTCCCGCTAACTAGTTAACTTATTTTCCATGCTTAGAAATTGGCTCTCGACATACCGACGAATACGACTCTGATAGGCTGTGCAGGCCGAAAACCGATCTCCCGCGCACTAGAAACTTCGTCCTTGTAGTTTTCCCATCGAGCTTGGACTGGCAATAACCACTAACCATGCCAAACGCGACTCACTACCATTAGTGAGTGCGCCACACCGTAAAGGAATTCACACCGTAACGGAATTGGTATCTTTTGTATGGATTCATCATATAAACAGTACTTATAGAAAAACATGAATATCTTCAACATCATAATAGATATGAGTTCTATATTATAATAGAAGTATATATATCATATTTCAAGTATATTAAAATATTTTTTCTAAATAAAAATATATCTGAAATGAAATTTGCTAAATTTATTCAAATTCATCATAGCAGATTTCAAGTACAAGAGAATGAAAAAATTTTTATTAAAAAAAAAAAAAAACTGTAATATACATAGAATATGATGTATATACTTCCAATTATAATATAGAACTCATATCTATTATGATGTTGAAGATATTCATGTTTTTCTATAAGTACTGTTTATATGATGAATCCATACAAAAGATACCAATTCCGTTACGGTGTGAATTCCTTTACGGTGTGGCGCACTCACTAATGGTAGTGAGTCGCGTTTGGCATGGTTAGTAGCGGGAGGGCGCTGCTAAGGCTTCAGGCCATCGTTGGTTTGCTGTTCTGCCCCGGCCGAGAGATCAGCAGTTTGCAATACGGCATGCCTAGGTACTAGTAGTGAGTGGCATAGTTAATAGCGGGGATAGCACCGGTGACAGTTATCGAATCGCAACCCGGACTTACTCACCCCTCGGACCTGAAGAATGTGTTCGGGCGAGTGAAATACAGATGAGCATACACATTTAAGAAGAGATTCTCCTTGGTTTTCCTCTGTTCCTGATTTTTCTGTGATTCATTTCCATCTTACTCTATATCCACATGAGCTTTGATAGGTCTTTCAGCGGCCGATAGCCCTTCCCCGTGATAAGGTTTATCCTTCCAACTCTCATCTTTCATATGCGTACTTGGACATCTTATACCACGTCGCGAGCAACACTGCCGCACTGAGGAACCTGTGTGATCGATCAATCGAGACAATGGGGAAGTCACTAGTTTACCCAAAGTACCCCAGAAGCACCCTGAACCGGTACAAACACCGGGGTAGGTCTCCCTCCATATAGCTCTTAAATGTACCTATAAAACCCTTTTCCCCAAAAGTGGCTATTGGTTAATACGGCAAACACAGGAACCTACGAGTTGGGGAAAATTCACTCCATCGTCAATGAGTGCGCCGTCCTGCATGTCTCCTTCCCCGCAGGCCCTGATGATCCGTTCCCCGCGATTCTCCCCATGATTGGCCAGATGGGCTCATTCGAGTATCCGTCCGCGGACATAAATGAGCCCCTAGACTGCTATCTACATGGGTATGTCAGTTCACGAATCATGAACCTTGCTCGAGCTACCAACGGCGAAGGCGACGCCCAGAGCCAGCGGCTGCCGGTCTCCATCTCCGCCGCCCACGTCGACGGCTTCATCCTTTCCCTCACCCCGAACTCGCACAGCTACAACTACCGTTCGGCCATACTGCATGGGTACGCGACGGTTGTGACGGACGAGGCAGAAAAGCACTGGGCCATGAAGCTCGTCACCAACGGTGTCGTGGAGGATCGCTACGATCATACCCGCGTGCCACCCAATAAGGTGGAGATGACGTCGACAACAATACTGCGTGTGAGGATTGTGGATGGCAGTGGGAAGATTAGGGATGGGAGCGTGTCGGACGAGAGGTACGACCGCGAGAATAAAGCGCTTACGAGCAAGGTGTGGACGGGGGTGGTACCTGTTTGGCAGGTAATGGGGGAACCGATTCCCGCGCCGGAGAATGAGGTTAAAGAGGTACCGGAGCATATCAGGGGGTTTATTGACAGGGTCAATGAGAGAAATAAGGCGTATGCTCACGACGCGGCGGTGGTCGGGTTGCCAAAAGAAGAGCAACATTAATGTCGGTTTCATATTCTTCATTTTTTATTTTATTTTACTGTATTTTCTTTCTTTTCTTTCCCCCCTTTTTCATTTTTATCAATTAAACGTGACGAGAGTTTACATCAAGCTTGTGTATGGAAAGGGTGGAATATAGATGAATTGGCAGGCTTGCACCTGCTGTATACTAGTATGTATATACTTCAACAGTAATTGATAGAAATATCTCTTCGTCCATCGTACGAAGCGTTAGAATACATAATTCTTGCAATGGCTTACATGTGAAACAGGTGTAAAAGCCCAAATTCTCAAAGGCTTCAAGCTTTCGCCGTTAGCGACCACCTGGATAAAGGAGAAGCGTATCGGGCGGGTTAGTGGAACCAGATAACGTGGACCCAGAGGATCAATCCTCTTAAGGGTTGTTCACCTAACGATCTCAAGTAAATTATTTAAGCTTTAGCGCGTTCGTTCATTAAATATCCTATTTTTCGCTGCCTTCGCTAAGTATTATGTAGCAAAAGAAATTTACTTGTCACGTCTAACTGGCGGAAGCTCTGACTGTTTAATAGACGCGGGTGTCCCACGCCAAACCGCGCATTCCGCCCCTCGAACATCCTAAAAGTCCCAACGGGCTATGACATCATCCGCGATGCGACCCTCGATTCTGTCAGAGCCCGAGAGACGAGCTTTTTCGGAGTACCTTCAAGGCTCTAAAAATGTGATGGCACTTCTTGGAGCCGGCCTCTCGGCGGCATCAGGGCTCCCAACATTCCGCGGCGCCGGGGGCGTATGGCGGTCGTATCCTGCGACGTCTCTCGCGACCCCAGAGGCTTTCGCGGCGAATCCAGGCTTTGTTTGGCAATTTTACAGCTATAGACGACATATGGCTCTGAAAGCGAACCCGAATAGAGCGCATTTCGCCCTCGCGGAGCTGGCAAGAAAGAACCCGCACTTCATTACCTTAACCCAGAATATAGATGGTACGACCATTAGGGGTTATTTTTTTTTCTTTCAAAATGATACAGCATACATTTGCGCACAAGATATGATCCAAGTTAGAGTGATGTGAATTCTGACGGTGGCCCCAATTTCAATTTCTCCAGGCCTTTCCTCGCGAGCCCACCATCCGGAATCCCAGCTCCACCTTCTCCATGGCTCCCTCTTCGACGTAAAGTGTGCCTCTCCCTTCTGCACTTACGTTACGCAGGACTACAACGATCCCATCGTGCCAGCCCTTGGTATTCCCAAAGCTGGCCCCGAACCAATTCCCTCTGCGAACGACAAGACAGGTGAAGAGGCCGCTAAATCTCTCTCCGCTGCTATGCAATGGAAAAGTGAGCCGCACGCTTCACCTGCAGGAACAACAACAGCAGCACCTGGGGAGGAGGGTGTAGAACTCGATATCTCCAACGCAAACGTACCCATCCCGCACATCGCATCAGCGGATCTGCCCCAATGCCCTCTATGTAAGGAAAACATCCTCCGGCCGGGTGTGGTATGGTTTGGCGAGGCGCTCCCTCCTAAGACAGTAGATACCGTTCAGAAGTGGATTGACGATGCGGATAGGATTGATCTTATCCTTGTCATCGGGACCACGGCGCAGGTTTTCCCTGCCGCGGGGTATGTGGAGGACGCAAGGGATAAGGGGGCACGTGTGGCGGTTGTTAATATGGATATCGCAGACATACCTCCAGGGGGGATGTTTCCTGGGGACTGGTTTTTCCAGGGGGATGCAAGCGTAATTGTGCCGGAGCTTTTGAGGGATGTTATTGGGGATGTTTAATGCGTGAAGTTAAAATGAATGGGCAGGGGTAGGTGCTGTTATTATTGTTCATTTTATTCTCCGGGACGGATATTTAGCCTCCGAGCTTTGCATTTTGGCGAACTAGAGGGATATATTCATTCGATAGGGATTATAGTGGGTTCTTCCTCATGATGGCATGATAGAGACCAGCGATTGTCTATGCGTTGGCATACGACGAGCAGCCATCGAAGCAATGTGCTAATCATTTAGAACAAAAGGAGAAGAAAAGTAAATCTGGGGCGCTCAACAATTGATGACCACGAGCTGCAGTCTATTATTCTTCGACGTTCTAGAGGGAAATATCCACCCTAACACAGAAGATTGCCAATATTTCCGCTGCGCGTTCCACCTCTACCTGCAATTTGATTGGTCCGGATTGAATACAGCTCAAAGGGCCCCGGCTTGGCATATGACTAAGCCCCTTGGTTGCCATGCCATCCAACTTTAGCAGGACAAATACTGACCTCATAACACCAAGGGGATGCGGGACGACACACCACGACGTCAACGTGTACCTGTTTTTCTCGATCTTCTACTATTTATTCTGCTTACTGATTGAAAGTCTTTTGTCATTGGGGACTGGTGAATGTTACGGAAAACGCTTGACAAGTAGGGTTTGTTGTCAGTTCCTCCTCTGCTTTTCAGGTGGGTCCTTTGGATAGACATTTTTCACCAGCAGATCGCAGACTCAAGAGAGATATGCGCTTACTTATCTTCGATAAATATAACAGACTAATAGACTCTTTTGTCTAGTTCTAGGAAAATATTTTCCAATACAACCCAAGCGACCGATCAAACCCGTTGGAATTCATTTTGTTGAAGGGTATTACTTTACAGCCAACATAGAATATTGGCGGGATAAGTGAGAATTGATGGGCCCTTATCGCCAGAAGACCCAAGCGCAAGTAGGATCTGGGGATTTAGGAATCTGGTACAATGGTGAAGGAACGAGAGCCTCCGCAGACCTCCCAGCCTCCAACGGGGAAGAATGACAAACCCCAGAATGGACAATCCTCGCAACCAGGATTTGGGCAACCAGCTTCTCTAGGCCCATTGCATCAGAGCAAGGGCAACCCGTTCATCATTCCAAAGGCCAACAAACCACGCCCAGAACATCATCAACCGCCAACCGCTACTCTAAAGAATGGAAGCAGTGCGTCTTTCCTGGGTCAGGGATATACAGGGTTCGACCCCTTGCAACCTGTAAAACCATCCGGCTATAACAATTTTAGACCGGGGCTATTAGACAACGACAGCGCATACAAGATAGCTAGGCCGTCAAATGTCAACAGAACGACGCAACCGGCTCCCATCCCATTATTCGCTTCTCAAACAAAGCCAAAGATGTCAAAAGCCTCAAGCAACCTGCAGAATTTCATCGACCTTACTGGCACAGCAATAAACGGCCAACATCATGAAGAAGAATTTTTGGGCACTATGGACACGTATAGCTATGTTGATGCAGCGAAGGCAACGGAGAATATCAAGGCTTTGTTGGAGGGCGCTTTTGAGGATGATGATGATAAACCTCGGACGAGACAGCGTCGAAAGAAAATAGAGGACGAGGTCAATGAGTTGGCTAGCAAGCTTCAGAAAGTTGATGTTGGTGGGGACGCTGGAGATGAGGAGGAAGAAGAAGAGGAGGAAGAAGATGATGGCACCGTTGAGGGATTGAAGATCAAACTTCTTCCTCATCAACGGGAAGGCGTTGAATGGATGAGAGACAAGGAGTTTGGGGTGAAAAAGACACGAGGTGTAATTCCTAAAGGTGGAATTCTGGCTGACGATATGGGCCTGGGCAAAACTATTCAGACAATTGCACTGATGCTTACGAACCCTCGTCACCCAAAGGAAAAGGAAACGCCTGCTGAGGACAAAGGGAAAAAGCAGAAGGATATACCGCCTGAAGTTGGGAAAGGGACTCTTGTTGTTGCACCTCTTGCTCTCATTAAACAATGGGAATCTGAAATCGGAAGCAAGGTTGAAGCTTCGCACCGGCTGCGTGTCTGCATATACCATGGAACACAGCGAACCAAACATGCAGATACCCTATCTCAATTCGATGTTGTGATTACTACTTATGGCACCCTTAGTTCTGAGCATGCAGTCTCCGAAAAGAAACCTACAGGATGTTTCGCCAACCATTGGTACAGAGTCATTCTTGATGAAGCCCACACCATCAAAAATCGCAATGCTAAAGCAACCCAGGCTGCCTGCGCACTGAAGTCTGAATATAGGTGGTGTCTCACTGGTACGCCGATGCAGAATAATCTCGATGAGCTACAGAGCTTGATCAATTTCCTTCGCATAAAACCATACAACGATCTTGCTGCATGGCGGGAACAGATTACCAAACCACTAAACAATGGGAGGGGCGGCTTAGCTATCCGAAGATTACAAGTCTACCTTAAAGCCTTTATGAAGCGTCGAACGAAAGATATCTTAAAGTTAGATGGCGCATTATGTCAGGGAAACGCTGGTAACAAAGGAGAAAACAACGAATCATCACCCGGATTTAGAATCACCAATCGCGAGGTGCTGAAAATCGAAGCGGATTTTACCCCTGCGGAACGAGCGTTTTACAAACGTCTAGAACAGCGGACTGATAAGACCCTGGAACGAATGATTGGCGATGACAATATAAACTATGCAAGTGCCCTGGTTCTCCTGCTTCGTCTCCGCCAGGCGTGCAACCATCCCGATCTTGTGAAGAGTGACCTTGCTCAGGACAAAGATGTATTGATGAATAATTTTGGAGGCAACAGCCAGTCTAAAACACCTAAAGGGGAGGAAGATGTCGATAACATCGCTAATCTTATGGGTGGGCTAAGCGTTGTGACTAAACTATGTGACGTTTGCCAGGCAGAGCTGGGTTCTAAGGAAGCTATTAGTGGTGCTAGCAGATGCGCGGAATGCGAGGCTGACCTACAGACTCAAGTCGTTAGCCCCCGCAAGAAAGGCGATAAGAAAGCGAAGAAAAGGACGAAGGATGAACAGCTCAAAGCGAAAAGGAAACAAGAAAAATCCACGGATCAAAATTCATCCACTGGGATTTCTGAGGCCCGTCGAGCTCGATTGCAGAAACAGCGGCTTATTGTCGATAGCGACGATGAGGATGATGGCGGGGAATGGCTTGTTCCAGCTCATCAACGAGTTGAAAATCTTGGGGAAGCTGGTGGGACTGACGACGAAAACGCTGAAGGTGGCGGAGATTGGCTAGGTTCTGACGATTCCGAAACTGACGAAGATGAGGGCGATGGGACCAGGAAGCTGTCAGACAAGGCAACGGAAGTTATCAACCTCGATTCCGACGAGGATGAGGACGAGACTGATGACGATGAAAGTGATGATGATCCAGAAACTCCAGAGCATCTTGCTTCGACAAAGATTAGATATCTTATGAAGATCCTAAAAGCAGAGTCTGGTGACTACAAATTCATCGTTTTCTCTTTCTTCACCTCCATGCTGAACAAAATCGAACCTTTCTTGAAGGAATCACACATTGGTTATGTACGCTATGATGGTGCGATGAGAAACGACTTGCGAGAAATCAGTCTTGATAAACTACGCAATTCCCCGAAGACTAGGGTCCTTCTCTGCAGTTTACGTGCTGGTTCCCTCGGATTGAATCTAACCGCTGCGAGCAGAGTTGTCATTTTGGAACCGTTCTGGAATCCGGTATGGCACTCCTCCCCATCCTCTTAAACTATTTTCTATTCGAAATTTCAATGTCAAAACCCGAGCTAACATGTAATCAAACGCCACAGTTCGTCGAAGAACAAGCCATTGACCGTGTCCATCGCCTTAACCAAACCGTCGACGTGAAGATATACAAACTGACTATAAAGAATACCGTAGAAGAGCGTATCGTCGGCCTTCAAGAGCGCAAACGCGAACTCGCCAACGCTACGATTGAGGGCAAAGCCTCCGCGGCCAAACTCACCATGAAGGACATGATGGCACTCTTCAGTCATGAAGCTAGCATGACATACAATGGCGATGAGGATAAGCTGGATCTTACGGGAAGGACGAGATTGCTGGATTCGAGAGATGACGACGACCGGCTGGATTATGGTATGTCCACATTTCAGCAAGGTCAAAGAGCGACTCCACCGGTTATGCAAAGTAAGAATGGGAATCGGCGGCCCACACCTGAGAGCTCTGTTTATGGACGGAGGTGGTGAGGGTAGTTAGATACCAAAATCTCCGTGCGTTTGCATCCTGGAGGAGCCGGTAATATTTCGGGAGATTTCTTTCCTCTCCATTATTCATGTTCGTGACAACCAGTGCGATTTGCATTGGTTATGGTTTTTTAGATAGGGCTTGTTGAGTAGGGGAGTGAAGCTCAATAGAGACTTCAAACAGGGGTAATTTTTTTCTTTTTCTTTTTCTTTTTTTGAGCTTCGAATTTTTCTAGAAGTTAGACTATTCCCCCACTTTTTTGTCCAACTCTGCAGTTTCCCATCCCTCATCTGCAGATAACCAACAATTTCAGTTCATGTCGCACAGGTGTGCGGCCCACATGGCGGCGGAGGGATAAAGTTAAAAAAATATTACTTGATTGAATATGTGTCACAGAGGAGCAATGTCTAAGTGGTTATTTATTTATTATTCTTATTGTTATTAACGACGTGACGATTGAGATTTGAAATTTGAATTGGCGGGGCTTATACTATGATTTTTTGCTTTCCGCACACCTCTGATGATCATTGCACCGCAGAATATGTAACGACCCCTGACTGAGATTTAAAGATAGCTTTATATAATCCATCTCCTGTTTCTCTGGAGCTCTGGGCAGCTCTTCAATAATAATAATATTTACATAAAGAGCGTACATACATCTACCTTTACCTACATATATCCTATTCAAAGTGCGCCGCAATACATAAATAGGCAGATAATGATAGTCATATATTATATATAAATATCCTTTATATATTGATTCTATGTGTTCTATTCACACCCCATATCGTCTGTTTCTAAACCTGTCCTGCTACAAACAAATGGAGAAAAAAAAAAAACTCCTGCAAACTTCCCAATCTCCCTCCTCCCTCACACATGGGTCTTGTCTGTATCCCGTACCGCTTTTTACCTTGTACATGTGCTACTAAACCGAAACGGACTCTCTTCAGCCAACAAGGTAGGTGTCACAGCATAGTAGCAAGGGTGCCTGTCGCGTTCACACACGCGGTATTAGTGGCCATGTTTTTATGATTGCAAGAGGGTTAACAGTCTACCTACCTAGCACCCGCGCAAGGAATGGCAGAGAGGCCGGCTGGTTCCAGATTCCAAAGATTCCTTCTGTTTCCACTGTTTGCATCTTTGTTCACCGTACCTTAAAGGAAAACAACTCATGGTGGTTCTTCATTAGAGAGAGTCGCTGTCGACTACATGGAATTATGTATCCCATGCAATATAGGCACAGGTTATCCGCCTGAGGTTCACGATTGGTGGTGCTTAAGGATGGCACGTATCCACGAACCCAATGGATTGAGTTACTGTATTGGTGTGGGGTATTTTGGGACTCGAGATCCAATGGTGGGTACTAGAGCTGGCTGGCTGGGTAACATAATGAAGCAATGATACAGGACCTGGTGTTACTGGGGATCAGGAACAGTCAAGACACAATTTTCTGCCCCTACGTTCGGGCTGCTTGCATGTTACCTACACAGGCGATGTCGCGTTTAAATCGTCGGAGTGAGTTGCAGATATTTGCATGGATTCTCGCGAAAGAGATGTCTGCCTTTCGAACGTCTCTATGGAAATCCCAGAGGAATGATAATAGCTAGGATTCTTCCATGACATTCATGGGCTGGTTCGAGTTGTCTCGCTGAAAAATGTGAACTTGGACAATGGACAAACACCTCTACAACCAAAATATGTTGAAAGATTTTTGAGGGAGTCAATCATGAGCACCGTGAAATAGGAAGCCAACGCAGGAAGGAACAAAGGGAATGACCAAAATAAAAACAGAGGTTCTCTATCTCGAGACCTGGTGTAACGGAAAGCGACAGAAACGAAAATCTTCCAAGAAGGAATTCCCACGTGGTGGCTTGGAGCTTAGGGCCCTCAATCGGGTCAAGGAGCTGGCAAACCAAACTGGCAAAGGCGATTTTTGTTGAAAACCAAGCTGGAAAGATAAGCAAAAATGTAGCATGGCACTACACACACGTGTGTGGTTCTGTCGTTTGATTCCTTTTGGTTCGCCCTTCCCTTTCCATGGTTGAGCATGCATGACACAGCTGAGCTTTGGGAACAAAGTCTTGTCGCTTGTGGTGGTACCTGGCTAGCTCTGGTATTCTTCTTTTCTTCCGCTTTTCGCGACGGTGACATAAAAACCCATTTTAGGTATTCGTGTTTGATCTAACATGGACTTCTCTTGTTATGCATATCTCCTGATTATCTCAATCGTTAGTGTTTGTTTGCCTGAGAAGCTAAGTTCAAGCAAGCTTCTTATTAAAAATCCCCAGAATAAAAATCCCTCATGGAACAGGCATTGCCTCCAATGGCTTCAGCCATAAATGTCATTCGGCCGCTCCAAGTGACATCCGCTCCCAGCTGCTCAGAGACGACATGCAGCAAAGCTTTTTCAAGTTTAACCTCCAATCCTCGACGAGTTGGCCCTACCTGGAGTTTCCTTTTGGGATCATGGTGTATTCGTCGTGTTCACCAGCCGTTCTTGAAAAACCGGTGAGTCGGCCAAACTTGGATCATGAGCCTTCGGCGCTAGTAAGTTTTGTGACAGGCTATGCAAAGCTCCGTCATCTGGGTCCGAGTGGAGCAGTGTTGGGCTGCAGTTAGAATGTAATAAACTTGAAAACATCACTCTAGGGGTCCTATTAGACGTTGTAAATATAAGTACAGTTGGACGGAAATATTCAAGCGTTTTTGCGAAGACCCTCAACCGTCTCCGAGGACACAGGTGTGCCTGATTCTTGAAACAAAATCTTCAGTTCCCCCTTATGAAAATTTCCTTGGCACACACCGCCTGTTTGGGGTTGGCTGTATGCGCGGATAAAGTTAGCCTTGCCGATCAAGACAAGAAGAAACGAGGCAAAACGAAAGCTTGACATGGGGTTGGTTGACAACTTGAATGTGACGTATAATTTATCACTCAGCAGTCGGGACCGGCTGGTTTCACTCTTAATATTGAGAGGTTTTCGAAATCGAGCAGCTTCTCGAAGTTATGGATCCTGTCGACAGTTTTGGCCGGCTACCATCAGACTCTGCACAGAATGAGGCCAGACAACCAAGTATGGAGTACATGAGGATCGCTGGCGCATTAAAGAATGTTGGTATGCTAGGAGCCATCCTCGCTAACGATGGGCTCTTGTTGGATTAGCAGGGTGCTTTCTTAGTGTATTTTGAGGAATCTTAGGCTGAATGTGAAAATGCCGAACAAATAGAGTTTTCTCCAAGGAGCCGAGATTCTCCTCAAATTTTCTTACCTTTTCACTCTGGTTTCGATATCCAGAATCATCAAGCCAAACCGTTGCCACAACCTTTTCTTCCTTTCTCTGGAAGGATCTTTTCTTCTATCCCCTCGATTTTGGCTGGCGTAACCCGGAGTTCGGGAGGCCCAAGCGTGCTTTGAGTCCGATTGATAGGCGGGGGTCAGTACCTCGATACGGGCTAATTGGCCGGTTTCAGCAATTAGGGCAGTTCTAGCACGGAAGCAGAGGCGATGATTGGGCTACCCGTGGCTTGAAGCAATTCAGGCTGGGGCTGGCCTTAGCAGTTCGAAACGTGGCGTCCACGAGGAACGATGCCATGCGAGTTTGCTGCAGGCTTGATTGGGAGCGGGCGTTTTCGGTTCTGGCAGCCTAGATGCATCAAGGACGATGCATTTTCACACGAGGACGAGATATTGTAAGGAGACGCGATGGTGGTGCGACGGTAGTGGTGGTTGTGACGATGACGATGATGACGGACAATGGAAGCGATAAAGCAGCAGCTGGGGCGGCTGATACAGCGGGAAACCGAAAACAGAGCGGAATGGGAGCGGAGAATGCCAGAATACGGTTCCGTACAAGTCGGTACGATAGATACCATAGATACATACAACCCCCCCCAGCATGCTGCAAATTTTTGGGTTCCGGAAGCCCCCCAAAAAATAAAATAAAACATTTTTTTAAAAAATAAAATAACCATGCATGGCGAACATGCAGGTATCCAGTGAATCCACTTTTTAATGTACAGAAGTATAATTTTAAATTTTCCTTTTTCCAGATTGATGGCTACAGAGTGAAATAAAATCCGAAAAAAATATGGCTGAACGAGAGGGTCTGTTTCTTACTCTGAATTACTAGCGGTGTTCTTCAGCATATCTTCACCTCCATCGCCCTCCTCTTTATTAACCTTCTTCCGCTGGCTTCGAGAACACCATCCTTCTTCTGCCAGCCAACTCCTTGCTTTCTGTCGTGGTGTATCCCACATCTTTCTGGCCAGAGAGAGCTGTGTGGGCTTGTGTCCTTCATCTTCTCTCCCTTGAACCCCCATCCGCCGCTGCCAGTCTCCCGCAAGTCTTCCCAGTCCCTCCAAACCCTGGAGTCACCGGCTAATTGTTCGCGATTCGATCCAGGGAGCCGGGAAATCCATTAGCCTGGGGAAAAACAAGAGGTTTTGGTGAAGAACATTCTTCACTTGCTCCACGACTCCTCACTATCTGATTCCCCCCAGGGTTTAGTCAAGTCAATCGGGCTCAATTGACAAGCCAAAGAACCCTGGACCGCCCCTAACCTCAGATTCTAAAGAGAGCCGGTTCCTTGGCTTCTCGTTCCTTGCCTTCGTGGTCGCAGGTCAGCACATCCCACATCCCCTTGCGGACTTTTGTACTTGCATCAGTCTCCCCTTCCCGCACTCCTCATATTCTGCACAGCGGAGGAGATCAACTTGAACTATTGCCCTTTGCGATCTTTCTTTTTTCCGAGTTCCCTATTTTTATTTTATGCCCCGTGGTTGAATAAACAGGGTCTTGCTCCTGGCGGGAGTGCACCCCTGACGTCTCCCAACGGAGCGCATTCAGTTTCTGTCATTGAGCATACCGTTTTCCGTGAATGGACACGCCTTAATCGTCCATGGATTTCCCGTTTCATTCTACTAATAGCAAGCAAATGCCCTTGTAGTAGTTTCTTGTGTTCATTTGGTCGTTCTGTGATATCCTCCAGCTCTCCCTTCCCAGTTAATGGGAATTCTGCTCCTCCATTCGCCAAATCTACGTCACCCATTCAAACGCTAAAATTTCCGTTAACCTTAGCAATGCAGGATCAACGATAAGCTTCAATTTGGATATTAAAACTTAAGCAGTTGTCGGGGACACAATGGGTAATTCGCAGGGCAAGCAGGCGTCCTCTTCCGATGCAGGTTCGGTTGCCCCACTCACTGTTCATTCTCTATTCAACCATCTCGGTTTGGTGCAATTGAAGAGGAACCCGCTTATTGACACCGCTATTCAGTCAACCTGAACCACTTCCGTCTACTGCGTGTCGTGGGAAAGGGTGCGTTTGGGAAAGTACGGATTGTTGAACGCAAGGATACTGGTTTGACGTTCGCTCTGAAATACATCCGGAAAGATGAAGGTATGTTTCTTTGTCTCTGCAAATGAGCGCCTTTGAGTGTTGCCAATACCCGACCTGTTTGCAACGCTGATATGTATTCTGACATCCGTTCTCAGTTGTCCGATCCGAGAGTGTTCGAAATATCATACGAGAGAGACGAATGCTGGAGCATTTGAACCATCCCTTCCTTTGCAACTTGAGATATTCATTCCAGGATATTGAGTACATGTGGGTCGTCCAATTCTATCGACTATGCCACCGTTGCCTAGCGAAAATATATTCTAATAATTATACAGATACATTGTGGTAGACCTAATGAATGGGGGCGATTTACGATTCCATATATCTAGGAAAGCTTTCACGGAAGATGCTGTGCGATTTTGGGTCGCTGAGTTGGCGTGCGCCCTGAGGTACATACATTCTCAAGGCATAATCCACCGAGATCTCAAACCGGATAACGTTCTGCTGGATTCTGAAGGCCATGTTCATTTGGCGGACTTTGTGAGTAGTATTCGTGCGCCGCGGAAACCCGGAGTTAGATCTAATAGTCAATTAGAATGTCGCTTCGGACTTTAAACCATCAAAACAGCTTACCAGCAAATCGGGCACGCTAGCATACCTGGCACCAGAAATTTTCGATGGGGCCGGATATCTGAATGAAGTCGACTGGTGGTCTCTGGGTGTCACCTTTTACGAATGCATTTATAATAAGGTTAGATGATCGTTTGATATCTAGTACCGGGTTACGCTTGACTAACGGGTTGCCAGCGCCCATTCGACGGACGAAACCATGACGCATTATCGGAAAATATTCGGCGAGCGCAACCAAAATACTACGTTACGAATCCCGCAGTCAGCGTGCTCTGTTTACGCGCGATGGCATCTCTTATCGAAAGAGATCGGTCAAAACGAATTGGCGCGGCCGGATTTGCGACTTTTGAGAACCACCCTTTCTTTGAGGACATTGATTTTGCCGCCTTGGAACGCAAAGAGATTCGCCCCATATTCGTACCCTCTAGCGACAAGACGAATTTTGATGCGACATATGACCTTGAAGAATTACTCCTAGAAGAAGCACCATTAGAAGCACGAGCTCGTCGACAGAAACCAAGAGCCGAGTTGAAAGACGATGCTACAGCGAAGGAGATACGAGAAGACGAACTGCATCGAGTTATTGAGACCATGTTTGAACCTTTCGACTACACAACCGTCTCATATCAAGGGTATGTCATTCTCACTCTTGGCGAATAGATTAACTTATTAACAACCCCAATAGCACCGCCGCAGCTGCAATAGCCGCGTCTAGGTAAGATTTCCCACCTTTCCCCATTTCCCTATAGTGCCTCGCTTGGACTCATTTTACCCTCAGTAACCCCGAGGACTGCCTTCCCACCACTACTAGCCGGTCACACACACGACATCCTTCCCAGCCCCGCTCAGTAAATGGCTCGCCTTCACTGCACACAGAAAGGTCTCTCAGTCATTCAAACGCTTCCAACACTCCTCCTTCCCTTTCCGAAACCGATCGCTACCCATACGAAACGAGTAGACATCAGAGTGGAGAACGACCTGGTTCTCCTCACCGACAGTCACAGCCTGTCCACACAACTCTTCCACATTCCCAACCGTACCGTCCACCACCACCTCCCGGGCCTCAACGCCCGCGTGGCGCTACTCGTAACATGAGCAAAGGAGGCGGCGTACAAATGGTACTGGAGGAGACAGGAAGCTGGAGTAACCTTGCAGACCACAGCTCGGCATTGCCGGATGGATATGATGGAGAAAATAAAGCCCGGAATGCATCTGGATCCAATAGTGGAATGCTTTCGTTTCTCAGTCGCAAGAAGGGTCGTGACCGCAGCCCTAAGCCGACGGAAACTGGTGTGCTTGGTAAAGAGGGTGCTAGGCAGATCATTAGTAGTTGACGCTTAATGGAGTGACCGTAACGGGAAAATCTCATAACATGAGTATCATGGGATTATGCTGTTGTGTGGGGAATGGAGTTGATCATTTTTGGTCAGTTGTGTTTAAAAGACAGCGTTGTTTGCCCTCGGACATCTCATTGGAAGATGCGGACCGGGTGCTGCGTCGCCCATATTCTTGTTCGATTCATGTCATGATTTTCATGGCGATGCATTTAGAAGTGTGAATGGTGGTGTGTATGGCCACTCAGGAGTTCCACAGGCTCGGCCGCAAAGACTTCAGATTTTGATTCTCCTCGCCAAATTCCGATCCCGAAAATGGCAACGGTGCTCTCATACTGACCCGATAATAAGATGCTTTGAAACACATGGGCATTGAATGTTATCCTGAAGATCAACCTAGCCCTGTCGCCTATTTGACGTCGAAAACACGCGCATTTCTCGTATCATGCTTTTAACGACCACGCTTAACGCAATTACGCTGAATATGAAGGTTTCGCCCTCTGCGTGGTCATGGGGCAATTACAATAATGATAAAACGAAACGGAAAGAACCATCGCAAATCAGCAGTAACCGAACATTCGTTACTGGTGATGGAAAAGGCCCCGCTTTTCCCGCTGCCTACAACCATCTCTGTTGCTATGTTTCTTTATCTAGATGCATTTGCTGGCCCCACTGTTTATTTCCTAATTCATCTTCTACTTCATGCACGTTTCATATTTCACTTTTAATTTTTTTTCTATTCTGTCTAATGATGTTGGAAGCTATCTTTTTTTCTATTGCCAATACCATTTCCTGTTGTTGCCATTATTTTTTGTATGATGACTGTCCATTTTGGTGATTTTCTGTCCCGAGACTCTTGTTCTCTTCCCCGTTTTACATAAACTGCATTGCCTACCCGATTTCTATATCCTGCCATGTAATTGCGATCATTTTTGATTTGTTGGATGCTGTGTGCGCGCGCAGAATTTCCTTTTTAAGTCTTCGAGTTTTGGTTGTTGTTTTGGTTTGATCCCCTCTCGTACAACTGCTTTCGCTTGATTATTAGTTCCTTGCATGTTTTATTCTTTATACGTTCAAAGAAAAACATTAAATTTTTATAGTGTGTCATTCGCTTTCCTTTTTTAATAACTGAGAGAAGGATTTCACTTGTCCTACACTCAATAGACACGATTTTCTAGGGAGGTACAGTGCCTATGCACTTGCTTCTGTTGTTTCATTCAACCATGTTCATTCCCATGAGAAGACTTTCAATCTAGTTTACGCCTTGTCAGCCTACCCGATTTAAGGTTTAGATGCCCTAAAGACAAGCAAGGAGAGTTTTCGTCGATTTTATACATCTACTTCCGCAGTACCGCAGTACCGCAGTGTTGTCGCTCAGAAAAGCAGGCGGGTGATTAAGACTCCAATTTTTGTATCGCAATGGAAGTGGACTTCTCATCATTTACTGTTTATTCATAATTCAACAAAATATGGATCAATGTCCGTTTGAGTTCTCCATAGTCTGGTTCCGTTCCGGTTCCTGACCCATTGCTGGCTTACCTCTGGATTATCTCAAATGCTCTGTTGCTGTGGCAACCACGCCAAGTCATTTTCAACCAACTCACTCGATGTTTGATAGTTGAATACAGGCGCAACAAACGCAAAACTGAGGAGAGTCCAAGTGTCTTCTGTGACATGGTAGAACTAGAAGGGGAAATTTTAGCTATACCCAATTTATACTACCAAGCATGGATAACGGTTCGTCTGGAGTGTGCGCGTAACTAGGAGGCCGAGGTGTAGTATCGGAGCCGCCCAGACTTGCGAGATATCAACCCCATCTCGCTGGCGCCGTGCAACTTGGCATTTTGAAAACCAGGATTTCTCGACGCAAGATAAATACATATTTTTGGAATTGCAGCGAAATTCGTTACCTTCTTCTTTTCACTCGGTTGTTTTCCTTCTATGCAATTTCCTCTCGAGCTTTAGATGTGTCGTGTCCCTGCTGTCCGAGTTATTTGGCCTCTCAATTCGTTATGCTAGACCGAACCGCGTAGCGGCATATCCTTTTGCTAACAGCAAACAAAACAAGAAATTCGTAGATATCAATTACGTCGCGGGTTTATTCGGCTACCTACCTCCATCCGAACACTATACGTATCTGCTCCTCCGCTGTCTTCGCAGGCTTCTTGCGGAGAATCACGAATAATTGTCCACCCACTTACACGTCGCGGAACCGCGGCAAAACGCCTTCTGCGAACACCCCGCTCCACTGTCGAAGGATAATTGAAATAAGGCCAAGTTGATTTGTGGTCGCTGGGTTAAATAAAAAGAGCTGTGGGGTTTGTGCATTGTGTCTTGGTTGGGTTGGGTTAGACTAAGTTGGGAAAACGGGGACGGACGACTGTTCATTGAAACTTTGTCTGTTGTTTACGCTGCGTAGAGGCGCATTGCCCACGCTCTTCGTGTGCGTTTGGGATGGTGGATTTTGGAACGTAAGTTGTTATTTTTGGTGGATGATATCAAGGCTATCTTGTGTGTGTCTGTGTGCGCGCGGGTGTTGCAATTGAAGTCTGCAAAGGGGGCAGGACACACCTTTTTTTCATTTTTACATATTCAAACACTTACTGACCTTTGTGAAAGTCAGGCATAAAATATAGATTTAAATTCGGAACTCAGCAGCAGCAACAGCAGCGGAAGTCGCATGCATGCCGCACCACTCGCGCGAACGAGAGCGGGGTGAATACCGCTCTCGAGACCGTGATCGGAGACAATACCACTACGAGCAAGCAAATACGCACGATCGACACGAATATACCTCTCATACCTACGATGACTACGGGAATGATATCCAAGATAGTGACGATGGCGCTGACGATGCTCTCTTCAACGATCGAAGACGGAGCCGACAGTCCCGTCGAAATTCCTCCTCCCACCCGCAAGCTCGGCCCTCACCAGCTCGTCGAACGCAACTGAACCCATCGCAACGTACGCAGCAGCCTCAACAACGCACGCGCCGCCAGGACCATAGCTACGATCCCGATGACGACGATGGTGATGATTCAGAATCAGCAGTCATAGTCGTCGACTCGCGACCGAACATTTCGCGTCCCGCCCATGTCAGACCCAGCCCCGTCCGCGTCGAGAGGCGGCGGAGCAAAAGTCGAACGGTCGAGAATACACACAATACGGGAATCAGGGATTCGAGATATAAATCTAAAGAATCGCCTGCTACATCGCCCATTAAGAAGAGAGATCGCGATCGGGATCGTGAGGGGAGGCGGCGAAGGGATAGTATGGCTGATGAGGAAAGCCCGAGGAAAGGTCGCCTGAGGGATCGAAGGCGCAAGGGTTTAAACGATGATGACGAGGAGAATGATGTTCGCGGTGGATTTGGTACAGACCGGGACCGAGATAAGAGGAGGAGGAAGGAAAAAGAGAAATATCTTCCAAGAGAAAGTGGCGCGTGGAATAAGCAAAGTAAGCATGCCAGTACTGACTCTGCGAATAGCGCGACACAGTTGCTCAGCGTGGATGCGTTGGCAAAGTTGAACGCGGCGCAAATAAAAGCTGAGGCTGTGGAGAAGGCCAAGGCTGCGAAGGATGAGAAAGCTTTACTGGAGAAGGAGAGGAAGAGGAGAAAGAGAGAGGAGGCTAGGGAGAAGGAGAGACGAATTCCCGTTCAAAAGGGTGCCAAGAGTAAGGGATGGGCGGGGAGGAGGTTGGTTTCTGGTGCTTTTCTAGAGGAAGGGAGGAGTCCAGAGTTGAAGACAAGAGGAGGAGGCGGGCGGGGAGTTCGGAAGGATGAGAAAGGAAGAAAAGGGGCCGCAGGCGGAGGCGGAGGAGATGATGATAAGGGAGGAGGATGGTTTGCCAGTTGGAGCAAGAAGAAAAAGTTATGGGTCACTGCTGGAGTGCTGGCACTGCTCCTAATCATTATCATCCCAGTTGCCGCTGTGCTGTCGAAGAACAAGAAGGGTGACCAAGGCGCCAGTGGTGACTCTGGGGATGGCCCAAGTGATCCAGCATCCCAAGGACCACCGCCAAGAACCGAGTTGGGGAACTTTGACCCTAATACTCTCCCGGTAAGATGCAGATTTTTCACGCTGTTCTAATCGCATGCGGGAACATGGTGCGATGCTGATAGTTGATTATTGCAGGAGAGCGCGAAGAAAACATACTTTGACCCCCGTACTTGGTATGACACAGCGGACATGAATGTCACATACACTGATGAAACAGTGGGCGGCCTCCCTATCATGGGGCTGAATTCAACGTGGGATGACTCCGCCCAAGCAAACAAGAATGTCCCTCCACTGAACAAGAAGTTCCCGTACGGCAAACAGCCGATCAGGGGCGTCAACGTTGGCGGCTGGCTCTCTCTAGAGCCCTTCATCACCCCCTCTTTTTTCAGCAATTATAATTTCCGAGACAACGTTGTTGACGAATACACACTCAGCAAAAAGCTTGCGCCCAATGCGGCTCAGTATATAGAAAAGCACTACGCAACCTTCATAAATGAACAGTCATTTCGGGAGATCCGAGATGCTGGACTCGATCATGTCCGCATCCCCTACTCCTACTGGCTCGTCAAAACCTACGATGACGATCCTTACGTCGAAAGGATTGGCTGGCGCTACCTTCTCCGGGCGATTGAATACTGTAGGAAGTACGGACTGCGCGTCAACCTTGATCTGCATGGTGTTCAAGGCAGTCAGAACGGGTGGAACCACAGCGGCCGTCAGGGCTCAATCCGTTGGCTCGAAGACGACGACGGGACCAAGAACGGCGACCGTTCGCTCGAAACTCACAAAATGTTGGCTACATTCTTCGCACAGGAACGGTATAAAAATGTGGTTACCATATATGGTCTCGCGAACGAGCCGATGATGCTAAAGCTTGATATTGAAGCTGTTATTAATTGGAATACAAAGGCTATTTCGATAATTAGGGAGAGCGGTTTGAAAGATGCGAAGATTGCGTTTGGAGATGGGTTTCTCAATCTAGAGAAGTGGAAAACGATAATGCAGGATGTAGATGATAATCTACTGCTGGATACGCATCAGTATACGGTTTTCAATACGGGTCAGGTTGGGCTACCACATCGCAAGAAGTTGGATTTTGTGTGTGAAGCTTGGGTCAATCTGATTACAAAATCGAACACAAAGGGTACCGGGTAAGCTTTTTACCTATATTTCTCATTTTATCAAATTCCCATCCCCGCTCATGAAGAATTGCTAGCTAACTCTCCTCCAATTCCATAGCTGGGGGCCCACAATCTGCGGAGAATGGTCCCAAGCTGATACCGATTGCGCCAAATATCTCAACAACGTCAATGTCGGCAGTCGTTGGCTCGGTACCATGGACAACCCGCAAGCTAAAGACCAAGTCTTGCAGGCGCATTGTCCAACGCAGTGGCCACAAAATGATCCCGCTGTCAACGGCCCGCCCTGTTCCTGTGACCAAGCCAATGCAGACCCGTCCAATTATTCTGACTCGTATAAAAAATATTTGCAGATGTATGCTGAAGCGCAGATGTATGCGTTTGAGAAGGGGTACGGGTGGTTTTATTGGACATGGCAGACGGAGTCTGCGGCTCAGTGGAGCTATAAGAAGGGACTCGACGCGGGGATTCTACCGAAAAAGGCATACGAGCCGGAGTTTAAGTGTGAGAACGACAAGCTAGGATCCTTTGGAGACCTGGAGGAGTATTATTGAAATAAAGATTTTGTTAGATTCGCTTTGGTTTTCTTAGAATTTTTTTCTTTCTTTTATTGAATGATGTCATTTACATATATCCCATAGGCTAGGGATGGCTTTCTACATGTTTGGTTTTGCGGTGTCTTGTTGTTTTATCTACTTTTCTTCATTGGTACTTGCACATGTACTGTACATTATATATGACCGCATTTAGATATCCATTTTCTTTTTCTTTTAAATCTAAATTTAAAGTCTTCTGCGATGCCGCGCGTTTATTAGCTAGGTTGGTTACGGGTTTGGGCAGTTGATGGTACGTAAGTCAGACGCAGCTGGGGATTTGGTGATTAACCCTACTCGACCTTCAAGGAGCAGAATCCTTGATGATACTGTAATGATGCTGCGAGGTAAAACTCTTTTTATTTGCCCTTGTCTCCTTTACTTTTACCTGAAATTCTATATATTGAGTCATAAACGTGTCATTATATTTATCATTAATATGGTGGTTGGGTATAGTTATAGAAATCTGCACTAGGCAATCAACGGTTGTTTCCCAGAGCCCGATATAACAAGACAACAAAACCGAGAACCGCGCTCGCAACCTGACGCATCAAAACTATGGGATGAAATGATATTGTCACATTTCGCCGAAAACCAAATAAGAAACCAGATATGTTGCAAAAATGGACAGGCCAGCCAGTTTAACCCAGCCGGTAAAAAGTAAAAGAGAAAAAAGACACTGGCGAATCAATGAAACATCGAAATCGAACTCCGGTTGCGTGAAATGCGCCGATATTCCTTAACCGCGGGGCTGGTCGTGGGATTCAAGTGCTCCTCCAAAAGTGCTCGCTTCCGCATCTCCGCTTTTTCCTCCTTACTGGTGATATAATAGTGTTCGTGGTTTTCCTCCATCCCGATGATCCATCGTTCTGACAGCTGGTTCCCAACAGGTCCTATGCCGCACGCGCCACTCAGCTTCGTGCTGCCGGGACTGTTGAGCGCAAGCGCAAACATGTTCTGCGGCTCTGTAAAATCCGTCAACTGCTCACCCCTGATTTCCAGATACATGTAGCCTAAGCACACTAGATTTGTCAAGAAGACGAGAACAAGCACCACGTAGAAGATGCCTTGCCACCTTTGCACACCGCCGGAAGCATAGTCGCTGACGCGTAAGGCAACTTTAAAAGTTTGATCCTTGGGCAGTGTCGCCGGATCGGGGCGTGCGAAGTCGAAATTGGCACCCTCCGTTGACATAAGCAATGTTGAAGCAGCCATTGCGGCGAATGCTTCGGCTACAGATGGCATGGTCTCGCTGAGGGAATATGTGTTGGTTTTCGGATCCAAGGGGGGTATCAACTGGGTTAGTAGTCGAGCGTTGCTGGCTTGCCCGTCTGTAATACCCGCGCCGAGGCTGAGGGAATTGGCCCATTCGGTGCTCATATCTTCCCAGTTCTCGTCCCACTCAATAAGAGGTATATCCTTTTTGTCCTTGTTGTAGCGCATGTTGTCGTGTGGATCATCGCATGTAGCAGCTAGATTCCCGCCGCTGGCGGTTGCATGGTAAATAGTCGAGCATTGCGTCGTCAGACCAGCTTTGATGGCGCAGAGGGCGTATGGGGGATCGGTTATGTATGGCGGAGAGGCCAGTAAAATATACAGAGAGTCTCTTATATAGAACCTCAGAGTGCCATTTACTAATGTGTTGTAGGCAATTGGAAGCTTTGGAAAGATAGGCGGAAGTTTGTGATCGCCGAACTCGAATATATCGTCGACCACAGTCTTATTCCATCTCTCCCCCTCACCCCAAAGCCCTTCTGGGGGAGCGCTAAGCCAAGTTGAAACATTAACTTTTCCATTGACCTCGGGCCATTCATTATAGACGAGGGGCGCTATTTCTTCCCTTGTCAAGCCCGCACAGAGCACGTTAACAACTGGTGAAACAACCGCGGCCCTAAGGGCAAATTCTCCAAGGCCGTTGAAGTCACTTGGTTGTCGGAGTGAGTTGCGAGGATGACGAGATGCTGCAATAATTCCCGCATGCGGCATTGCTGCGGTGACATTATTGATCATTCTGCTATGCTTTTTGGATATCTCCACCATATCTTGCTCCTGAATCCAACTCCCTCGAAGAGTGGTATTGTCATTCCAGGTGCCTGCTGGTACTATGCGTTGGTTCATGTCGGTTGAGCTTGTATTGCCTCCCATAGCTAACAAGGACCACTCCGAAATATATTCTCTGTAGTTGTGATAAGCTTGTCCAACATAAGATAGCTGAAGACAAGTGCCTGCGCCATATACTGGATCATCATCTTTGGGGATTGGAGTTAAACAATTTTTTAATAGATACGGCACGTTTGCAAACTTCGTTTTCACTGTGCCAGTGAAATCCTTGATCTCTTCTGGGCCGTAACTAAGTTTCGGTGATACTAGAAACACCACATTAATAACCCCTTGAAATAATAGAATAGGACTAAATCATACCTAAGGCATCAGCAGCAGTCGTATATAGCAACGCCATAAATGTGGTTGTCAGGGCTATCATCCCAATAATAGTAAGACCAGAGTGTCTGACATGCTGCCAATGTGTTATCAGGCTTCCTGGCTGCATAATCCAGCCGCGCATCGACATATCCGCAATGGATATTCCTGTTGCTCGTTTAGAGAGTGCTCTTCGGCTCAGGACTTGACCTATAAAGGCGACGAAAACAGTGACAAAAGACAGTTCTATGGTTTTGGCAAATAGCGCGCTTAAAAGAGACGCCGTATCAGGGGCAAGTCCACCCCTCCCGATCCTGCTCCCATACCGGGGTTTAATAAAGGCAACGATCATATACAACCCAGACAGAGCGGTAGAATAAAAAGCAAGCACCAAGATGGTGATTGTTAGCCATGACATGCGCTTGTGACGAACACTTCCAGCACTGGGGCAATTGAATTTCGACTGGCTGTCAGGTGGAGGATTACCATTATTAAAGGTCACGGTGCTGCTTATGCTATGCTGTCCAGGGCTGTGACCCATTAGCGGGTTCGATGAGGGAGGTGTATCTCTTCTGATTTCTGGACTGGATTCAGGAGGGGAAGAATTGCGGCCACCTATTCCTAAGCCAAAGGCAGAGCTTGCCCGCGAATCATGTGTGGCTACATTGTCTTGGTAAGGTAATGGCGGAGATACTGTTCTGTCGAGGGGATCTGATAATGAAGGAACCGGTTGGTATGAGTTTCTGTTATTACGTTGGGATAAAATGTCGCTTGACGATCGTGTATGCATGGGAATGAAATGAAGTTCATCATGATGACTCGAAGACATCGTCGGGGCTGGAAGATCGCATGCAGAAGGTAGTTGCGATGAACCTGCGGGCGGCAGGTCAATAAACAGAGCAGGTCGTAGCAACTCCTGGCCAGGATACGAATTAAAATGCTCGAAGCTCGTAGCCAAGAAAATTAAAGTGGAAGAGAAATTAAGATGAATCTGCAAAATGGAATGCTTTTTATTTGAACTGGGAGGGCGGGAAAACGTCCGCCAGTTATTATAAACTAACTACCCTTGAGGTACGGAGTAACACCCACTTAACTTTGCGCCAAACTGCGGCAAATTTCTCAGGAGTGAAATTGGGGTCCAATTAAATACTGCCCTGGAGGGCTTGCTGTTGGTTCTAGCATGTATTCCGCCGGCCAAGACGCGGTACTGCCGGATGCTAGGTAACATCTTGGACGAAAAATGTCGGTTGGGCAGCAGCTAAAATCGTTAGCCCGTTCCAGCGCGCATCCAGGATTTTTGGAATCCAACAAGTTGCTACCAGGCGACAGGCATGAGAGTCCAGAACAACATTACGCAGGTGATTGCGCAAGGACAGTACTTTTCTACCCAGGCGACAAGGGTTCGGTGCCGTGCGTGCAAGTTCCGAGTTTAGTGGATCCTCGATTGAGCAAAGGAATATTTGCCGGAAGGCTCCCAACAGTATTCTTCTCGTGCTTCGCCTGCGATCAGCGACAAAGTGCAAGCAGAACAAGACAAGTTACATTACCCGACCCGGGTTCCTTAATAACTGGTGGCATGGCTGGCAACCCTGTTGGAATTTGGCTCCCATTCGTGAATTCGTCCATCAAACCCCTGTTCCGCTGGACAGCTGTAATGTGAAGAGGGGGCATGCAGCCGCAGAAACAAGTGCATTTGCGCCATTTTAATGCTGCAGGTTGCACAAAGGAAGCCTTTCGGCCAGCAGAACTAACCAGGCATTGCCAGTCTCTTGGATTTGGGCTATTTTGCGCTGTGGAGTTTCATGGGCCTCAGATACTAGAACAAGATCCGTCGCATGTCAATCACAGAAGCAGCCAATTCTAATCTTATCGCTGATACTTGGAATAAGCAATTTGGACCCGCAACAGGGCGTTACATACAAGATTGACTAAGTTCACGTCGATGATGTCGTTGGTCGCGGCTGAAATTACGGTTGGTTGACAGCAAACCCTAACCGGTCTTGGCTTTCTCGATCCTAAAAATAGCAGACGACTCCACTTCCATAACTTAAGCCCACGTAAGGCTGAGAAGGGGTCAAAACATGTACTTGAACAGCACAGAGGACGTGTGCATTTATCTCTTGTGGTTACAATTTCTTAACTGGCGTATTGCCTCTTTCCCCTCACGTTCTCCCCCT